TCAACGGATATCAGAGTTTTTCCACCCCCGTTAAGTAACCTGTACCTAAAAACGCGGGATTTCCGGGTTTCCGGCTAAACTAAGCGCTATAAAAAAAATCGGACTTAAATGTTTCTTTAAAAACGGCATCTCATCATCCCTACCCCGAAAAATACATTTTTCACCCCAAACTCTACTTCGCGCAAGATTACTTGTCAATCTCAGCTCTCCTGCCATACTGCAAGTGTTTCCTAATTTTTTCGCGCCACATGGCATCCCGACGCGGCCATCTGGAGGGATTTTGGGATACCAGCAGGGTCCCCAACAATCCCGTCTTCGGTTGTAAAGTCCGAGACGATCCGCCGCGGCGGGCCGCCGTCACTGCCCCGTACCCCCTTGGCGCGTCTATTTTCTGGGGTCCGCCACGAGAACAGGTGAGAGTGAGCATTATCTGCCTGTGTAATGCCTCCCTCCATCCCCAGCCCAAGCAAAGACACGCGCCCAAAACCCGCACTGGCAGCTTCCTTGTCTCGGTCGTAGACACAACTCACAGGGGTAATCAGGGTAAATTACGGCTGACAAGGGTGGTATACATTAATAGTGGTGAAAATTAGAGCTGCAGACTTCCTAAGCTTAAGCCTAAGCCTAAACCTAAGCCCAAGGCTAAGCCAAACCTAAGCCCGACCTAAGCCTAAGCTAGAGCATGAGCCTAAGCCTACGCATACAGCGCCGCCGTTTGGAGTTATAGGCAAAATCGGGATGCAAAGTTGAATTTACAGAAAATTGGGTTAAGAGAAAACTAAATCTCTTTTCTTAAAATTTGCCTAATTTCTTTGCATTTTAATTAGCTTGGTATTGCAACATCTTTAAAATTCAGCGCTTATATGCAAATGACGATAGTAAAATTCTTAAAATTCAAGTTAGTTAAACAGAAATTAAAATAATTAAAGGTGAAAACAGACGATATAGAACATTTTTTAAGGCCGACTTACCTGGCTGAGCATAAAGCACCAGTACTCCGTTCCTCCAAACATTTTCGATCTTCGTCGCTGAGTTCGAGGAATTGTCTAAAAAATCATGATACGAGCCTTCTATAGCAAAATGATTACTTGGTGATGTTGCATTGCATAGGGTACCCGTAGGGATGGCCGCTTTTGCTTTGTTGCGGGAAACCGTCGTTCATCTAAATAAATCAATCAATTTAAATCATTTTTCAGGAGCTTTTAGCCAGATTCCTTCGGAGTGGTGGTGGACAGTACGCACCTTTGCTGCTGACGGATTTTTTCAGAAGGGGAGCCGGCCACCATGGGCCCTCCGAACCCCCAAGCGGCCAATCGCTCGCGCCACAGTCAGCAAATTTCTGTAAAAAGCAAATAAATGATAAAAATTTTTGGTTTAAATGGATTTAAATGGTACATGACACACTTTATATACATTCCGGTAAGAGAAATATCGATTTTATTCGATTAAAAATGAATAAGAATAAATCGGGTATTTCCGCTGGCTAGAGTCTTGCGACGATTCAATATTGCGTCTGAATAAATATTCCAGATATTAAAAATATTGAAAAATTACTCAATATGATACATATTCTTAAATAAACGCTATTCACAGTTTAGCGTTGAGAATAGCTTTTTTTGAAAAAGCGGAAATTCTTGTCTTTTCCGCGTTGCTTCCATTTTAAATTTGTATACAAGTATAAGGAGTAGCAAGATCTGTACACTATTTAGATAATGCCCGTAATCTTAAACGACCTTTCAAAGTTGGCCACTATAATATAACGTAATACCTATAATATACAAAATCTAATTTTTGATTTAACTTCCCAAAAACCGATTATTAAAAAAATATATCCCCTCAAGTAAAGTCGAAAAGACTACGCCGGTCAAAAATTATCAGTGCTCCCAAGAAAAATCGTGAAAATGGAGGTGGGTGCGAGGCAAATGGCGGAAAATGGTTTCCGGTGGGGGGTGGCTGGAGGCAGGCTGGATCGATGTCGGGGAGGGTGGGCCCTTTCCCATTATGCCACTAGGGCCCCCAGGGCATCCTGCAGAGAAACGAGAATTCAGGGGAAATAGAGAGGGAGCAGACGCTCACTCTGAGGCTCACTCTCCCATCTACCACGTCATCCACCAAAAGTCACCTTGATGAAATGAATTAGCATTCGAGAATTGGATTGGCCGTGCTGGAGGAAGGTACTCTTTGAGAAAAGCTAAAAAATCGGCATAAATTGGGCTATATGGATTCTTACATCCACGAAATTCCATTAAAAATGACAAATTATGAATACTACACTAAAGTGTATAACGAGTAATGTTTTGAGATTTTTTAAAATTGTAAATATACTAATAAAAAACAGAAAGATAAAACAAAAAGTTTTATAGATTTGTAAATACAAGAAATTCGATTGAAAGACCTAATTCTGAATATGGTACGTTGTACTTTAAAAAATTATACCTTGGAAGATTCTAAATTAACTCATAAAATTCAATAAATCTGTGTTTGTAAAATAAAAAAAATTTTGCCTAATAGTATGCTTTGAAGGTTATTAAGTTTGGCTTTCGTTTTTTGGCCTTTTTTCAGGTTAACAATCATAGTAGACGATGACTTCATTTCCATAATATTTATCATGTGTAAGTACAACCCGAAAATGCATTGACAACAATTTATTTGTTTATTTTTATTCGCAAATCCAAGGGCATCAAAATCCGTATGGAATTTGGGTGGTAAAGGTATTTTTAAGGTAATGGTTATGGTTTTAGATAGATACATTAAATTTGATCGACGCAGAAACTTGGATTTTGTATAATGCAGACATTAAAGGAAAAAAAACGCTTATTTCTGCGCCGACCCACATTTAATATAGGCGGGCCCGTGTATGATATGTGACTGGATGGCATGGAAGGACATTGAATATGGCACATGACGAATTAAATTACACGGGATTATCATTCATCTTCTTCTTCATTTAATTGGTTCCCAGGCACACACACGCTCTTCTTTTTTTATTTAGGTCTCGATATGTTTCCAAGGTGCTGTTTAGTAGCCCCGGGTTGGGTCATTTTTAAATCGATCGACGGCATCGTAAATGTAGAGAGCAGTGTTCAGCGCGGTACCCATCTAAAAAAATTTTTTATTCGTTTTTTACCATAGCTTTTGCTAAATCTGAACTACAGGGTGCCCCAAAAAAAAAAGAACATCCGACATTTTGCTGCCTTACATCCAATCGTCACGAAAGGTGTACAGGGGCGTAGCCAGAGAAAAATTTCGGGGGGGGGGGCCCAAAAAATTTTTTCGAAAAACTCAAAAAAATTGACAAGAAAACAGCGCCGCACGCAAAAAATTTGAGAAAAAAGGCAATGTAGCTATACAAATAGCAGTAAAAACGTGAAAAAAATAGCGGCGCAGGCAGCAAAATTTTTGAGAAAATAAAAATCATAAGGGTCCCCCCTTATGAAATTTTCGGGCCCCGGCCGATTTCGGGGCGGGCCAAGGGGGCCCACCTTACGCTACGTCCCTGAAGGTGTATCAGACCTTAAATAAAAACAGTCCTGACTTATAGCCCCCTTAACTACGGTAGTTCTCCATTTATAGAACAAATACATTGATTTTCATTTTTCATAGAATTCCCGTGGGATACAACCCCCTAAATATTGAGGGAAAATGATTCCGGCAAGCCTTATCTACCCTAAAAAATTTTGGACTCAAAATATGAATTTTATTCGATTTAAGCGATTCTTACAACGCAATTTTACCCAAACTCTGAAGCAGAATTAGGAATTCACAGCCGGAAGTAGATGAAAATCGATGTAAAGTCCAAAAAAGCCGAAAACCCGGTTTGAATTGCGGGTAAAACAGTATTTCGTTGTAACCCGAGAACTACTGTGGCTATGGGTCAGGATTGTTGTTATTTAGGGTCTGATACATATCTAGTCCCGGGCGAAATGCCGGATCGGCCTTTTTGGGATAACTAGTATGATATAAACTCACAAGTGTAAAGAGCCACTGAATGACGAAGGTTGATTGGAATAGAGCCATCAGCAAAAACAGGGCGGATATGCAGTATACAGCAGCTGCTAGCGTCGAGAACAGCCGTTCCTAAGGTAATAAAGTAACTAAAACAAAGTGCCCTGAACCAGATTTAATATATAAATTACTATAATTTATTTAATATAGCTCAGAATATAGCGCTATTGCTTGAAAACCCACCATGAGATGAAAATTGTATTTATAATAGGTCTGCGAGACACCAAACACATCAAAAATGACCATGACTGTTGTGAGCACACAGAAGAACACATTTACGCAGACGATCTAAAAATTGAAATCATTATAACTTTCGAATGAAGAAAAAACGAACCGAAAATACTTGTGGGAATGAGTGGTAGAGGTGGGAGCATTCGCGGAATAAATCGTTTGGGAAACAGTAGGCATTCGCGAGAGCGCAGTAGATCCCCACCACCTAAAGATTTCGATTCTAAAAATCTAAATTGCAAACGTTTTAAATTTGAAATTCAACAAAATGACATTTAATTTGACGCTTTATATTAAATTTAATTTTAATTTAAATTGTATAAAAACAATATGTTGTTGAGGAATCGGCTACTCGATTTTCTGAAAAATTTTTAATATAAAATTTTCTAGAATTTCTTTCGACGGGCCGATATCTATGAAATTGGCCGCGAAGCGGTTTTTGAATCTTTATCAAGGTCTAATTTGTTAGTTAAGTTTATAGTAATGGAAAAAAACCACTCACAATTTGGCACACACGAATCACATTCCGCTTCTCCTCAAAGAACCCGCGATTGACCATTAGGGGCGGGCCTTGGTGGTTGTGACTCATTGTTTCCCTGAAACGAGCTTTTCAAGTTTGTTTAAAAAGTAACGGCTAGAACCAAAAAAAGCAGGTCATTTGGCGGTAATATCGGTTTTGTGGAGGGTGTAAGCTGGCTGGAATAGTAGCGTTGTGTCTCCCAGGATAATTGTGGGAAGGTGAGAGGGGTAAAGGGGGAGTGGGAACTCTGGAATGGGCCCTTATACACCATGGCCGGAAGCTCATCCCAATTAGACAGCTTCTCGAATCCCCCTAGTCGCAGTTTCAAGGGTTAATGAATATGGAGAAATCTATGCGTTACTCAATTATTGATAATTTTGAAAAATTACCTATTTAAAAACCGGTATATTCTTTAAAAAGCGGAAACAACTGTTTGGAACGGGTTGGCTTGATCTACATAACTCGTGCACAATGCTCTGCTACCAAGTGAAATCAGCGTTCCAGTTGACGCTATCGAGTATGTGTGTCAACGATTGTTTTTAGTGGGCCTGAATCGAAATCGAAGGCGCTGAAAATCTGAGGGAGGGGGAGAGGCATACAGAGATCTCCCAACATCCCATGCTCACTTCGAAATTAATCCGGTGGCACGCACGCATCTTAAATACTCTCGACTGCCCATTAATCAGTATATCAAAATATAAGAAAGTTCAAGCTATTAATTTAGCTAATTCAAGCTCATAAAATCCTTAAATAAGAAAAAATTTTATGGGTAGCTCTGTATCTCAAGAATAAATTTTCAGAAAGCGATGGGAAGACTTCGATAAAAAATGTTGGGAAGATGCGAAGGCGGGAATTTGCTCAAACGCATGAATCATGGCATTTCCCCCCATCGATTTCACGCTATCGGACCCCCCGGACGGAGCACTTTCGAATAAATATTTGAATCGCCTGGTATCTCGCGTCCCACTTGGGAAGCTAAATTTGTAAAATTTTCGGGATTTTGAAAATGATATTGATAGAACGTAAAAATATACTAAGATAATTGATTTAAGCCCAAAAATATACTTTTTTCAATATTTTCGATATTTTGAAAATGCTAGTCAATAGAGGGCGGAAAATCCTCAAAAAACCAATGTTTAAAACTATTTTTAATATAGAAAAATTATCCCTTAACCGGAGAAAAATGAATAAATTTGAAGATCTTCACTTCAGAGCTATAAAATAAGGCAACATCTCTTAACGTTTGCAAGCTAGCACTAAATTAGTCGCAGACTCGGACACTCGTCGCTATACTCTAGACTCCCCTGGATTCAAATTGGCCTCTCTATCTTCTGGCCATGTGTGGCACATACACACACGGGATTAACCACTTGCTTCACTGCCCCCCAGCATCGGCCATCTAACCACCCCCTCACCCCCCATATACATATTCCAATTTCGGGAACGAGACATTTATGGAAATACTAGTAAAGTAGAGAGTTAATAAAAATTATTAAATTATTAAATTTGATGAGCTACTGTAAAAATACTCCCCCAATCCTTGCTCACTATGCTAATTTTTAAGATTTTGCAATCCCGGCATCAAGCAAACATATTATGGGTTTTAATAGCACTTTAAAATCATGTACTAGATACAAAATATAAAAATATAAAAAGCTATGCTAAATTTGCACCCTTTTTGGTCGTTTAAAGATGCAAATTTATAAAGCACCGGAAAATACCGTTGTTTTTTAATTTCGTCCAGAAAAAATTAATTTAAATCAACCATACCAAAACAGAATAATTTAAATGGTTAAACGTCGTTTTTAAACAAAAAAACTGGAGTGAAAAGCTTTTGCGACATTTTAAGACCGAGCCCAATGGCTTGCTTTTTGCGTCCAAATGCCTATAAAACACGCCCAACCTTGCCAGAAAACCTTTTACCCTAATAACCCCGAGGTGCTAAGTAAGTATAGAGTAAGAATGAGCGGCTTTTGGAGAGGGTGTGCATGCCCAAGTCCGATAGTCACTTTATGCATGAGCTGAGCCGAGACACTGCAAACCTTCCACCCTCCCCCCTCCCCCCACCCACCACCCTCATTCGCCGTACGCGCCCATCCGAATGCCATTTCTATTCTAGCCCGGACATCCATGAACCACCGGCCATCAAAGCATGGGAAACTTCCATGATTTCTGGGGGGTGGTCAGACAATCGCGGCACTTTAGCTGTGAGTTGAAGCCGTTTAAGGTAATAAAATGACGGCAATCAAAGTTTTTCTATAATAAAATTAATTTGAAACATAATTTTCGGGATATAAAAAATCTTTTGGTATATCCTTCCGCCTTCCAGTAGACGAAAGTTTCAAAATATCGAAAATATTGTAACCGTCGAAAATAGGGTTCCACCCCCTTGCCTGTGTGGTGCCCATGGTTTTCAAACGTAGTTTTTAGGGTATAGAACTTTTATATTACATTTTTTCCGGCTGAAATTAATTCTGTTAGTAGTTTTTCCCAGACGTTTCAGATTTTGTCGAGAATTTCCGGTAAATAAGAAGAGTAAGAAAAGAAGCTTAAAGTAAAGTACACTCTAAAGGTTACTTTATTAAGTAATGAACCGAAAAAGTTCCCAAAATCCTTGTAAAATCGGGTTTTTGCGAAAAAGTTAAATTTTACGGGTCAGGAGTTAGTTTCTGAACATTTTGGTGCGCGAATTCGGAATCAGCTCGAAAAATGGGTCCGGACAGTGGTATCGAACGTGCGGTTTTGTCAAAATCGGCTTTCTAAAGGTGCAGGGACAGCGGGGGCGGCTTCGCAACCTCCTGGGTGTCGCTGGCCCTTTAGTCGGAATATCGCTTTCACTTTCCCCTAGTGTGGCACCAAGTTCTGGGGCAATTTTTTGCGGGGATTCCGGTCCTGTGGTTCGTTTTGCAAGAAAAAGTCGTCTAGTGCTGATAAAAGCAAATTTTCAGCTTTTTCTAGACGTTTCAGATTTTGTCGAGAATTTCGGGTAAATAAAAAGAGAAGCTTAAAGTAAAGTACACTCTAAAGGTTACTTTATTAAGTAATGAACCGAAAAAATTCCCAAAATCCTTGTAAAATCGGGTTTTTGCGAAAAAGTTAAATTTTACGGGTCAGGAGTTAGTTTCTCAACATTTTGGTGCGCGAATTCGGAATCAGCTCGAAAAATGGGTCCGGACAGTGGTATCGAACGTGCGGTTTTGTCAAAATCGGCTTTCTAAAGGTGCAGGGACAGCGGGGGCGGCTTCGCAACCTCCTGGGTGTCGCTGGCCCTTTAGTCGGAATATCGCTTTCACTTTCCCCTAGTGTGGCACCAAGTTCTGGGGCAATTTTTTGCGGGGATTCCGGTCCTGTGGTTCGTTTTGCAAGAAAAAGTCGTCTAGTGCTGATAAAAGCAAATTTTCAGCTTTTTCTAGACGTTTCAGATTTTGTCGAGAATTTCGGGTAAATAAAAAGAGAAGCTTAAAGTAAAGTACACTCTAAAGGTTACTTTATTAAGTAATGAACCGAAAAAATTCCCAAAATCCTTGTAAAATCGGGTTTTTGCGAAAAAGTTAAATTTTACGGGTCAGGAGTTAGTTTCTCAACATTTTGGTGCGCGAATTCGGAATCAGCTCGAAAAATGGGTCCGGACAGTGGTATCGAACGTGCGGTTTTGTCAAAATCGGCTTTCTAAAGGTGCAGGGACAGCGGGGGCGGCTTCCGTAACCTCCTGGGTGTTAGTGTCTGTTTTTGACGCTCTATCGAATGGCACTTGCGAAATTCCACAGTCATTTAAATATATATAAAATAATGAGAGCCCCGGTCATCTTGTGTGAGGTGTGAGCCATAACATTTACCGTATAGCGAATTTGAAAAAAAATGCCAGTTTTCGGAACTTCCAGCTCCTAAGACGGTTGTTAACCGTAGCAAATTCATAAATAAGCTACAGACAAAAATACAAGACATCAAACTTATAGAAAACACTCGGAAAAAGTATGGAAACTATCGGGGGGAACGTGTTTATTCGAAGCGACCCAAACAAGGCAATATCTTTTGGTGGAGAAGCCGGGCGAGGTAGCCTTGTTTGTCTGGGTTAGATATCGGGGCCTTATGGCCGTTATCAGGTGTTTCCCGTAGTTTCTGTTGTCGATTTCCCCCGCCGGTCAACTGCTTCTTCGGGCCACTTCCCAGACTCGTTCCAGGAGACCGAAATGAAGATCTGTGACGGTGGCAACGGAATATGGCGGGACGGCTACTGTAGTTTCTGGGCACACTTTTTTGCTGGAAATCAATTTAATAATTAAGTTTTAAAAATATACCTTTGAAATACCCATCGGTTAATAAAACGACCAAGACCTAAACGCCACCGCTCTACATACAACAACAATCCAACTTGAAGCACAAATACGTAACTGAAAGTTTAGTTTTAAATTTCCGCTCGATTGCTGACTAGTTTTGAGCGGCTTCCAACACCACCCAGGCAAGCTCTTGCTCCGGAGATCCAGCATCGAAGAACACGAACGGGCCCGCGAATAGCGTCAATCCTATTAGCATAATTATTCCATGGATCATGACGTTTAGTCGGATCAACTGAAATTTTATTCAAAAAGTCTGCTTTCTGGTACCTTTAGAGCTCGAACGTTTTCTTTCAATTGAAAACGGAGACTGAGTGAATACTCGTTCCACTCAAACCTCCTCAAAATATCATTCAGCTTTTTCATGTTGTATTTATGAAGGGAGTAGCTGCCCTAAAACATTTGAAGTTAGGTTCAAATTTCGCCACCAACCGCCATTGAGAGAACAGCCAAGATGGCCGTGAATGGAAAATCAAACATAAATAGATACATCACCGCTTTTCCTCCACCTAAAAAAATGGCTTAGAAACGAATTTCAGAAAAAACAACCAAAAGTATACAGTATCGATCCCATCATCGAGGAGACTGTGGTAACAATCTGAGTCTGGACGCTAATAAAGAGATATCGTTTTTGGTCATAGTCATGAAAAAATATAGTAGCATGCAGCCGTTCCGCCAAAATAGCCGTCATTACATACATCAGGGAGCAATATACAAAAACGCGAAACATCGAGCAAAAAATTAGAGGCAGGTCCATCAATACACTTCCTGACAAGGATGACGTTTACACGTTTCATTTTAAAAACTGGCACTGGACTGTTAGCAGGGGGGGGACTATTTTTCGTTTTTTCAGCTTATACATACTTGTTCATTATAAATACTTAACGTTCTTAATAGTTTTTAATAGCTAGAAAGCTACAAAAAAACCTTAAACATTTTTGAAAATTTGTAGATTTTTACATTTTTTGTCATTTCTTATACATTTATGGTCAACGGATAAAAAAACTTCGAAAGCTTTAAAAGTTTATTCTATCTGAAAACTGTGTGAAGTGCTATCCTACTATATATAAAAAAATAGTGTCTGTGTGTGTGTGCCACTTTGCATGCAACTTCCGTCAGGTTGTTCCAGCAGTATCTCAAGAAGGAAAGTAGTTAAGGGTATTTTTGATACGTCATTAGGAGCGTAAAGGTCTGGAGATGACTGCACGCATATCAGATTTATCAAAATCGCTTATTTTCGACATTAAATTTTAGTTTATGTTGAAAAATCCGAGACCCTCTTTGGTAGGAATATATTAGCATACTCCGGAAGTAGGGGTAGCCTATATAAATGAGCAGAGAGCGCATTTTTCACTTTTTTCAGCATCGGTGGAGCCGAATTATGCAAAGTGCACACTTTCATTGGCTTAAAACGGGGCCAGGGTTGAAAAGTCGCGAAGCGGCTTTTCAACCCTGGTAAAAATATAATTTTGTTCCAGCACCGTGCAGGATTACTGGGAAAGATTGGCTTTGCTACCCCCCCCCCCCGATAACAGTACAGTACCGAAAAACTATACCAGATATCACAATAACTTGATATTGATACAGCAGCAAAAAGACCTTTGCGATCTGCGATAGGAAATGTTGTGCTAGCATTACAAGAATTATCTGTTGCATATTCGCATGAAATGCCGATGAATTTCTTATAATATGTATCGTTAGCTAAACACAAACTCTACATATATTTTAATTGAAAAAAACCTACCACTTCTAGGCAGCTATTTATTAAAATGCCAAAAATCTCTGCATAAAAGGCGGTCAGATATATAGTTTGATAGAGTTGAGTCGGGCTCCCGATCAAAGCATTTTTGTTGATAATGCCGAAAAGCAGCACCTTCCAATTGCCAATTTGGTATAACATAATTTGAAAACGAAACTTGTAGGTGATTTACGGGGTTGGAATGGTATTTTATGGAGCAGGTGATCGTGAGGGGATTTTGAGTAGGGCAGGTGATGGCGGCCAGATATTCGCCCTAAGAACAATTGTATAACTTCCGCACGTCAGAGTGGCTATTTTAAGCCTTAACTAGATATTTTTAGATATGTTTTTCACTTCCGGTGCTATTTTTTACAGCTCATCTTCATTTGCTTACTACATTTTTCGAAATCAACGTTTTTCGGGTATGATGAGCTGTAGGGGGGATGACTCAGATGCCATGTTTGCCATCAGCCCCCATCTTTTTCCGGCGAGCCAGAGCCTTATCGGGAGGGTATGAATGGGTCGAGAAGGCCTTCACTTTTCACACTTGGCCCCGGAATTTCTTTGCCCAGCCAGCTTTTGTACTATCGAGCGTCGCGACTGGCAGGCTAGATGCGCCGTTTTATTCCATTGTTTATTGGGCTTTTGCTAGCCGTTGATGCCTTTCCGGGGTATAACCCAGAAAGCTTTCCTGACAGGTATGGCTTTGGAAAACTGCCAATGTAAATACACACTTTTTAGCGATACCCAACCGGCTCTATGCTCTCAATCAAAGCGCAGCCTGCTATGTGATCCCAATCGGCTCCTCCTCCCGGCTGATAACAACACTGAAAACTGTGGGTCAATGTTTTGCTCGACTAAATGGTACTTGACTGTTAGCGGGGGCATAAAAACGGGGAAACTAACTTTGAAAACCTCGAACTCTGAATTATCGAAAAATTTTGATTTTTAGGCCAAAAATGTACGAAAAATGACCAAAAATATCCAAATTTTCGAATTTCCACACGCTGAGTATTTTTCACTTTCTGGCAATCGAAAGCTAGTGAAACCATTAACAACTAAGTATCTTATTAATAAATGTACACGACATAAACAAAAATTAGTTTTACCTCTTAAAGACCCCCTACTAACAACCCAGTACCGTCACAATTACCTCCAAATTTTAGATGACAAGATTAACGATAAACTGGGCCAGTTGCGGTATAATACGACCTGCACGTGAGTCACTCAACCGCCAGGAAAGTTACCTAATTTAGGTGTGGAGCAACGGATACGAACCTTGGGGTTTGCGGTCAAATCGGGACGTGGGGATTCACCGCTTCAATTGCTGTTGTCGACCGGATGATTCTTGGTGAAAATCAGCAGTTGGTTTTTGGGCGTGATTCATATTTGCATAGGTTATTTTTAGACTTTTCTAGGGAAATATTTCATACTTACGCTATTTTCTCGACACATTCGATGCAGCACCAAATATTATACTATAATTTGGAGTTTTAGCCCAAATAAATGCAAAAGGAAAAATTACGACAAAAAGAAATATCTGCTATCAAATTCCCCCGCATAATAGAACAGTACCTTACCAACTCTTTCAGCGATCGCGATTCGGTGATGTCGGCCATCGAGGAGTTTGCCACACGCTTGCGCCGTCGATTCCCGCGTGGTAACTGTGATGACGATATTTTCATCGTGCTATCGGTCAACGATTTGGCGGTAAGTAACGCCGGGGATTACTGTCCATTTGCGTCATTTTTTAAGGTCTGGACCTCTGTGGGAAAGGTGGCAGAGCGCTATCTAACTAACGAACTTGTCAATACCGTAACGATCCGGGCTGGTAGGTCTAATTTGGTTTTTGCGCTAGAAAACTCACTTATCTCACTTCAACAGGGTTTGTTAAGTATACCAAAACGATTGCCAGAGCAAGACGAACATTTTAGTATACTTTAAAGATCTGTAGGATACAATGCAGGGAGCGACATACAAAAAAATTTGGGGAGGCTATCTGGAGTCTTACCGTTTTCCATTCCAGAGTCGTACTTTAAACGCTCAAAATGGACCGATGGGCTGAGCTATATGCTTGATTCGTACACAAAAATCTTGAATGGCCAGCGTATCGAACCGTTGGATGTGGATGAATGGTATGAATTTAAAGCCTGACAACTTAAAGTTTGTATTTTTGATTTAATTTAGGTACTGGGCTGTTAGCAGGGGGGGGGTTTCAAAGGGGACATCTAATTTTTATGCAAGCGTTTATGCCTATCTGTTAATAATAAATAGTGTTTTGACCGTTTTTTAGTAGTTTTTATTGCTGGCAATTCACAAAAAAATATTTTATCCATTTTTTGAAAAAGCGAAAATTTGGCCTTTATTTGGTCATTTTCATGCATTTTTGTAGATTTTTTACGAACTTTTTCTACTTAAACATTGTGTAAAATGCTATAAAAATGGCTTAGATTTTTTTATAAGACGCTACAGGATACCTGGAAGAATTAGTGTCCCCCTGCTAACCCCCACCCCCTGCTAATAGACCAGTACCGCGATCTTTTTGTAAATATCCTACTATATATAAAAAAGTAGTGTCTGTGTGTGTGTGTGTGCCACTTTGCATGCAACTTCCGTCACCATGTCCAGAGGATATCTCGATAGGGGATGAATTTTAAGGTATGTATGATACGTCATTAGGTGCGTAATGGCCCTGGGATGACTGCACGCTTATCAGATTTACCAAAATTGCCTATTTTCGACATTAAATTTAGGTTTTTGTTAAAAAATCGAGGAACCTTTTTCTTAGGAAAAAATTAGCATGCGCCGGAAGTGGTGGCAGCCTATATAATGGGGTAGAAGGTGCGATTTTCATTTTTTTGTCATCGGAAATCGAGAATTATGCAAAGTGAAGTAGATCATGAGATCAGACGGGGCCAGGGTTGAAAAGTCGCGAAGCGGCTTTTCAACCCTGGTGAATTTTTAATTACAAATATTTCCAGGGTCTGGCCAATCCCAAAATGGGCTGTCATCGTGCTGGGAGTGGTAGTTGGATTGCTACTATTGGCCGTAGTTGGCCTGATAATCTATTGTATCGCCCGTTGCTTCTGCTGCAAAGATCGCCGCGGCAATTATTCCACCGTTAATAGGAACCAGTATCACTTGTGATTCTATATATCATCAAACAGCCTATACCTTCATCCCAACATACCGTAACCTTTTGTGATTATTATCAGCGTACTGCCCCCCGTGACCCAAGCATATCGATCTCAAACCCTCATTTGCATTGAATAAATTACCGGATATATCCGGAACTCCCCGAAAAATCGCCAGAGAATTCATTCGTCCGTTCGCCTCCACGATGAGCGGCTCGCCGACGCTCAGCGCCATCGTGCAAACGATTAGAAAGATGCGTAAGTCCTTATTCTCATGCAAATTAGGGATTGTATTTTGATGTGCAATTTTATGCAAATCAAAGAGGGATGTTAATGCTGGTAGCTAGAAATGTGGGGGTTTCCGTTGCACATTTATCTGCTCGTCTTCAAGCTTCGTGAGCATATTGATATGCTAAAGCGCTTGCTAGTTAGGTTTGCAACTCTAATATGTAAATTTTTGAAACCAAATCGTCTTGATGGTAATCATCCTAAAATAATTTTTGTAGTGTTAAGGTCGTTGCTGAAGTTACGAAATCTTTTGTTAATTAGGCGTTGGTGCTGTGTAAATTGCCAAAATAAATTATAGGGGTAGTCATCATCTAAAAATAGTTTTTGCGTTGTTAAAAAAAAACATTCACCCTTCAATTTTATAAAATCGCTATAACAGGCAGGGTCTGTTTGCTAATGCGTGGATGCTTCGCCTGGGGGGAAGACGGCTTGTCCTGTCCCAATCCCATTGGCCTGTTGGTGCATCGGATTTGTGCTCGCTTGCCACGCAGCTGGCCAGGGTTCGGCCGTGGCAAGCCTTTTTGTTTTTTCATTGAAAGCTAGGAGTTGGAGCTGGGAGCTGGAGTTTCTTAAGACCTTTTGCTGTATCTAATCATCTCCGTTGCTAATTAGGTCTGGTACTGTGATATCTAAATTTCCGCAATTAAATTTTTATCGATTGGTAATCATCTAAAAATAGTTTTGACAGTGTTAAGATCTTTGCTGAATCTGGGGATGCCGGGGAAACCCCCCAGTCTGAGCGAGCCGTTGCTGCAACGAGTCAGGCACAAATCAAAGGGCAAAAGAGAGACAAATGAGAAAGAAGAAGGCTGGCAGACTAACGGACTAATCCTAACGGAGAAAATATCCCCGTCATCCTCCACTTGTCATTGAAATATAGGTGGCCGATTCGTGTCGTTGATTGCTGTCGTGCATTTTTTGGTATAATTGCGTTGTTTCGTCGGGTATTATTTAGATGAGTGAGGTCTTAGGCATAGATGTTCGTATTAAATATATGGCTCCACTTCCGGTTTTTATTGTAATTCCCAATTTTCGCATGCCAATTTCATCCGACGCGGTTTTGGTACTGGACTGTTAGTGGGGGGAAGGGTTTAGCGGGAAAACCTGATTTTTCCCAGTAATTCCGTACGGCTCTATAGTGAAATATAACCCGTTTTTACAACATTTTGCACAGTTTATTTAGAAACAAAAGTTTTATCAAAAACTTTAAAAATTTTTGATTAATCTTTTTTGGTAAATAGGCATGAAAAATGGCTAAAACGGTCAACATTTTGGAATTTTGAAAACAGTCTAATTATTTTTGCAGCGTTCTAAATTTCATAAACTACGAAAAACATCATAAAAATACTTCAAATGTTCTTAAGCGGTAAGTATAGACGGAAAAAGCCCTGCTAAACCTCCCCCACCGCTAACAGTCCAGTACCAGAATTTTGCAGGGATTAAGGGCATTTGTAGTTTCTTGATTTTTTTAATTTTTTTAAATTAAATTGCTAATTGGGACCTGGGTGTGTATGTTGCGAATGGATGTCTTTTTGGGCCCATGCATTTGCTTTTAGTTGCGGGGGGCCACGTGAATCGATGACATCCCCTTTTCCGCCCTCCCCCGAAACTAAAAGCTTTTTCCAACCCCCCTTTGCCCTTTTCCTTCGTTTTCCCCCCGTCTTTTCGTTGTACCCCCACGTGGGGTAAAGCCCTCTACTTGAACCCACGCGTATGGACTCTACATTTTTCTACAAAAAAATACCTATTATTTTTTTTTAGAAATTGGAACATTTTTTTTAGTTTTTTTATAAATAGGTTATCAAATTAATATAAATTTTACTGTTTTGGGTTTTTGCCAGTTTTTTATAGCGATGGATTGGGTACTCGGCTGTTTGCGGGGGGTTAGCAGGGAATAATTTTCATTTTTCGCTTGTTGCGCTTATCTGTTACTGATAAATACTGTATTTTTGTAACGTTTTAGTAATTTTTAATAGCTAGATATTTACAAAAAAATTTTTAACAATATTGAAAATTAAAATTGGTTACCTTTTTGATCAGTTTTCATACATTTTTGGCCTAAACGTCAAAAATCCTGGAATTTTTTTGAAATTATTGTTGATTTTCTGTATCTAGAAATTGTATAGAATACTATACAAAAGATTTAATTTGATTTAATTTAATAAAAAGCGCTTTAATTCGCAGCGAATTGCTTAGGTTTGCAGTAACGTTTTTCATCATGACGATGAAATATTGCAAAATACTGACCTGAGTGACGTAGATCGCTAGTGTACCCAAACCCTGACATGCCCCTAGGCATCGTATATTAACGGCCACTCAATAAAGCTGTCGATAGGCATCGTAAATACCCTCTAACAATTTTCGGTATGCTTGAAAAACCGTGGGAAGACCAGTAAATTCCTCGTATTTTGATCAAAGAGAATCGGCGCTGGGAAGGGGCTGAACGGTGCAGCGAAATGCATATTAATGCGTCGGCCGGGGGCTGGTTGGGGCGTCTTTTTAGAGGGTACGGTGGACAATATTGGATTTTTTCGTGGTTCGGGTGCACCGAAAGATCCCTCCCCCATCCCCTGCCCTCACCCAGGGTCAGTCGCGGACCTAGCCATTCCTACCGATCCATTTCAACAACCCCCAATGTTGTACGGTGGCCAGAGCCAGGCTCGGCTAAACGACTTTTTCGACTTGGGATACTTAAGTAGCCCGAACTCGGTGGATTTATCTCCTCGCTCTGACGATAGCTCCAGCTGGGATAGCTCCATGTCACAGCGCTTCAGGGCTCAACCTAGCATTAATGGTTTGTCATATTTTCTTGAGGCTGGGTTTTTGCAAAAGCTTTAGTCGTGAATTTTATCCGGCTATTACCAATAATTTAAATTATATAAAATAAACTATAATAATCCTTTTTCAGAAATGGATTGCGTCAAAAAGTTGAGCCGAAGTATCTCCCAAGCTGTCCCCGATTCGCCAAGCTGTTCGACGGCGCGCTCACCGACGGCGCACTCACCGACGGCGCGCTCACCAACGCTTTCACCAACTACTCCATCCATGTACGTCGTTTTCGGTTTATAAAACTATGGGAATCTTACTGTAAAATTTTTACATTTGTTTAATAGATTTTTTACCAAAAAGCCAAAAACTTTAGAAGATTTTATATTTATTTTATGAGCTTAGGATATCCAAGGGCTGTGGAAAATACAATAAAAATGATTTACATTTTCTAACAGGTCCGTACAGCATTACCTGGAAAAAATTTGGTTCCCCCTAATAAAAATCGCTCCTCCCCCGCTAGCAGCCCAGTACCGAATTTCCACCGGAATTTCGAATTTTTGAAGAATCGTGGGGTAAAAAGATCTGTTCTTTCAAATGGGAATAATTTCTAACAAAAATCACTAACCTTTGAAATTGGGCTCGCTATTTGGGGCTGATTTGAAATTGCAACATTCCCTCTTTGCTTTTTCTGCAAAAAACACCCATCAATTTCCTTTACGCGACCAAGCCGCATATTTGAAGTTCACTCTAATCGAACTTAAAATTAACGGCCTCGCTCTCCCCACGTGCCTGACGATAAGCGCGTATTGCTCGCCTCGGGTTTTTCCCCATTTCAAACTCGATTAATTTCTTCTAACGTTTCTAACAAATGCGCACTTCATTCCGGACCAGAGTTTCAAAAAAGTGGGGGTCCATAATAAATGATGATAATGAATTTTTTTTATTTTTAGGAAGCATCGTCCTCTCGATGAAAGCCACACGCCGAAGAGCCTCACCGTTCACACTGGATCCTACCGGAAAGTCGTCTCGGCTACGGTAGGTTAACCTTATCCTTGAAATTTTGTGCCGATTAGGCAAAATTTTCTTAATTTTTGTCAAATAGTTTAGTACTTATTCTTTTAAGAGCTTTTTGGCCCATATGAAAATCCAGGAGTTTTTGAAAGACTGGAATTGGGTACTGGGCTATTAACGGGGGGCGGGATTGTTAGCAGGGGGAAACTGATTTTTGTTTTCCATCTAGCCTACCAGTTAATGATAAATGTCTTAAAATGTATCTTATAATGTTTTTCATAGTGTTTGATGGCTAGAAAGTTACAAAAGATATTTAGACATTTTTGAAAATTCGAAAATTGTTATCATTTTGGTAATTTTTCATCCATTTTTACGAAAAAGTAAAAAATTTTAGAAATATATGTGAACGTTTCATCTCTCAAAACTGTGTAAAATGCTACAAAATGTTTTATATTTTGCTATATAAGACCGCACCGGATTGCTAGCAAAAAAAATTAGTTTTCGCACTGTTAAAATCCCCCGGACTTCTTTAAATTTTAACTCAACTTAGCCCCGTTTCCACCTTAGCCTTAAAACTGTTCGCAACACTTTTCGAGTGGCAGGCCCAAAAATCAAACCTTGGGTTCAGCAGCACGATGCACTGCAAAACCCATGCGCCTGTCTCAATTTTTCCCACCCAACCTTCCTTCCCCACCACTTTTCTCGTAAAGAATGAAGAGAGGGTGTAGAGTCACTGTAGACCACAGGATGTGTGATTCTCTATAGAATGGAAATAGATGAGAAGATCAGGCGATGTTGTGGCTAGGTGAAAGAGGGACATTTCGATGGCCATCGGGGGGTCTGGGAATGTCCATCCGGCCACTTTATGGGGACGGCGTTTCCCTCGTGTCGAAAAAAGATAAAGCACCCGGGATGGACGGGTGGGGAGGAAAGGGGCACCCAACACGTGAGAACTCGGGATCCCATGTTCTCACAATAAAATTTCGTGAATCGGGGGTTCAGGATTTTGTGAATTAAAGTTGCTGTTAGGCTGTTAACTTGCAATTAACCTAGCTAGGTAGCTTTAAAGTATCGTAGTTTTTGTATACTTACAAAGTTATATCGAAGTTTTTTGAGTTCTGGACTGTTATCGGGGGGGGGACACTGTATGTTTTCCACTTTTACCTACCTGTTGATCATATTTTAGCTATTTTTATAGTGCTTAGTAGTTTTTGATTGCTAGAAAGTTTTAAAAATATTTTAAAATTTTGAAAAATCGTGAAATTCAAAATTTTTCACAGCGTTTTATAATGTTTTATCAGTTTTAAATCTACAAAACTATTTTAAGTGCTATAAAAGTTTATTCGTAATAACGCCGTACAGGATTACTGGAAAAATAGTTTCCGACTGCTAAAAATCCGCCCCCCCCCCCCGCCAGCAGTCCAGTACCGAATTTTTTTTTGAAGATCGCAAACCATTTGTACTCGCCATTTTAGCAACTGGGCGAGGAGCTGCTCGACAGCATCCATGGGACGCCAAAGAATTCTTCGACGCTTCCCCCGGGCCAGCTTCCGGAAGTTCGCGTCCTCGTTCTCTACACTGGAGGAACCATCGGCATGAAGAACGACGGTGGCGGTGAATAGTTTTAGCTTTTTTATGCGATCGTTTCGAGACGCGAGTACATTCCCCCTGCTGTTTTAAGACCGAAACTTGATCCCGAGCCTTTTAACGATCTCGACCAGTGATCCTGTCGGCCCGGATATAGCTCTGGATACTGTAACTTTGGTGATCTCCTGTGTGCGCAAAACTCCGGTTAATCGGGGGACAATGTAGCTACCGCAAACTACTACAAATGATGAAAGAGTTGGTAATGTACGCTTAGCGGGGGGGGGCAGCAAGAGCAAATAATTTTTTGCCAACCATTTTTATGGCATTATGCACAGTTTTTCGATTTAAAAAGCTCTTAAAAACATTAAAATTTTGATTTTTTTTGTACAAAAACCTAAGTAAAACGACCAAGAGGGCCAGAATTTCGATTTTTTTAAAGTGTTTAAAACATTTTCTGTAACTTTTAGCATGCAAAAACTACTTAAAACATTATAAATAAGGACTGCTTACATCTAGATCTGGAGGAAAACAAAAATTGGTCCCCTCCGCTAAAGATCCCCACCCCCGCTAACAGTCCGGTACCAAGAAGCTAGGTCCCCCGCTAATGAACCAGAACCGAAAAAGATTAAATCAGGTTGGCAAGATGCAAGGAAATTTTCTGAAAATAGAAATTTGCGTTACAGTATACTGTCCGATGCCCGGATATCTGCCGGAAGTCCTGCGCACGATCCCGCCGCTTAACGATAAGAAGGTTAACCGCTTTGCCTAACCAATTTACACAAACTACAGTACGTTGAAAGCGTATACATGTCGGCTACGGTGCAGCCCTATGCCCTGCCTCCCGTCAAGAATATGAAGAAGCGGATTGTGTATTGGGTCAGTTTATTAAAACGTTTTCCAAAATTACATCCTTTTTCATGCTATTTTTAGATCGTTGAATATGATCCTCTTTTGGACAGTTGCAATATGACTTTTGATGATTGGATCCGTATCGCCGGCGATATCAAAAAAGTTTGTGAAAAATTGATACAAATTCTTTGTTTTAGTCCTATCATCATTACGATGGTTTTGTCGTGTTGCATGGAACGGATACGCTCGCCTACACCTCATCTGCCCTCTCGTTCATGATGGAGAATCTCGGAAAACCCGTCATTATTACTGGCTCGCAGGTGCTTTTTTTTATATCGTAAATTGCGAGCTATTAGGTTATCGGGCAATTGGTACTGGGCTGTTAGCGGGGGCAACCGGTTGAGAATTGAAAGTAGATTCTTATAGTGTTTTTAGTAGTTTTTTGATTGCTAGAAAAAGTTATAACAAATTTTCGAACATTTTGACAATTTTCGATGAGCTTTTTGCATCCAAAGACTGTATAAAATCCAATAAAAATTGTCTCCATTTCGTTATTGGGCCGTACCTACGGAATCACTAGGAAAAATTTGGCTTTCCCGCTAACAGACCATTATCGAGCAATTTTATTCTTGAAAATCTTAACTAATATTAACTAAATTTAATAAGTACATACATAATTAAATAAATAAAAATAGAAATTAGAATCGCAGGTCCATTGTAAGGATTGTTTTGTTATGTTTTTGCTGAACGGCGTCGTGTCTCGGAAACGATAGGTCTGAGAGGGAAACGGTTTTCAGATTAGGATTCGGGGTAAAAATTCTGATTTGAATTCGGAAAAGTGGAGAATTGAGATAATATTATAATGTATTGGTTTATAATAATTGATGGGATAGGTGTTAGGGTGTGGGGGGAATGTTGGGAAAGGTCCCTGTGAGTGCTCTCCGCCTGCTCGCTCCCCTGTCCCGACTCGCTCCCCACCTGGCCCACCCCGACAATGTATCAGTGCCTCGGCCGGTTCGACAGCAATGGGCCATGCTCGTCGCTTTTTTTTAATGCGGGCAGGGTCGCGGGACATTAGGCTCGCGCGAGCGGGTCCGAATAAAATTTTGGAAGCAGGCCGTGTGCCAACGACGGGCAACCGTCTTTGGCGCCCGCGCCTCGCGCGTGGGGCGAAGCCCTCGCAATTCTTTTCTGAAAAGCAGAGCGACAACTAATTTAATTTTAAAGTTTGCTAAGTTAGGATAAGTACATAGATAACGAAATCAATAAAAAAGAAATTAAAATTGCAGTCATTTATAAAGAATGTGTTTTTACATCTCTCTCTAGATCCCGGTGGCTGAGGTTCGATCGGACGGCATGGATAACTTAATCGGTGCCTTGATCATGGCTGGGAACTTTGACGTGCCCGAGGTAACAACTAACCAATATAAAATTGAAAGCTTTTTAATTTAAAACTTAGTTTATATTTTACATATTTAAATGTTTAGGTTTGTGTCTACTTCAACAACAAGCTGATGCGCGGCAATCGTACGCTGAAAATGGACAACTCGGCGCTGGATGCTTTCGTGTCTCCCAATTTGCATCCGTTGGCCGAGATGAATATCAACATTAAAGGTGATAATTCGTTTCAGCACCTCCTTTCGAATTGGCCTAGGGGCACTGGGCTATTAGCGGGGGGAGGAGTAGCGGGGTGGAGTAGCTATTTAGGAAATGCTTACATTTTTGCGTATTTTCCTGATTTTTGGTTACTCAAAAGATATAAAATTGTAGGTTACCCCGTTAAAAATCATGTACCGTTCCATAACAATAAAATTTAGTGCACTACGATGCGATTTTCCGTTCTGGATGCTTGGCTCCATTCAATGTGCACGAGGATCTTTGCCGTGACGTCTCACTGCTTCGTATCTTCCCATCTATGAGCATTCATTCGGTATATAATTCAAAGGAGTATTATTATGAATATTATTATATTGAAATATCAATTTAATATTAAATAATTAGGTTCGCGCCTTCCTTGCTCCGCCTATCCGTGGCGTCGTCCTGCAAACATACGGTGCTGGAAATATGCCGACGAAGAGGACGGATATTATTGAAGCCTTGAAGGTAATTTAAATAAAAATAAGAATGAAAAATAAGCAATATAACTAAGAAATAAAAACGCATATTTTAATGGATTAAAAAGGTTCGTTCAGGAAGCAATCGAACGCGGTGTGCTGATTGTCAACTGTACGCAATGTATCAAGGGACAAGTGGATATGCATTACGCAACCGGCAAGGTGGGTAATTTGTATCTTTATGAAAAAAAAACTTTTTAAAAATTTGACGTTTAGATTAATCGAGTATTTTTATCGAAAAATCGGTATTTTTTTGTATTAGGTGTTTTGTAAGGGTTTTGCATTATTAAATGGGAAATAAACAGTTCAGCAGCATTTCCTTGGTTTTATTCGAAAAAGGCATCCCCCCGATGCTGCCAAAGCACCTTTTTACTGTATTTAATTATTTTCTTGCAGATCCTTTACGATATCGGCGTGATCCCGGGCTCGGACATGACCTCAGAAGCCGCGCAGATGAAACTGTGCTATATCCTCGGCCGTAATGATCTTGATCAGGAAGCGAAGATGAAGGTAAATTTTTGCTAAAAAATTTTCACCAGTTTGAAAAATGCTTAGATGCTCCAAGCCAATATCCGCGGTGAATTGACGGTGGCCCCGATGGAGATCAAGGAAAACGAAATCAGTAGGTTTTTATATTAACAAAAAACAAAACTAAATTAACAAATTTTTACATTTAAAATATAAAAATTTTAAAAAGTGAAAAAAAAAACAATTTTTTTAGTCAGCCAAATTGCCACCTATCTCCACATCTCATCCAACCACGAGATGCAGTACTTGCGCGATTCCCTTCTTCCGCCCTTGATTTGCCAAGCTGCAAAGGTAAAAAATCGTTTAATAAACTTTATTAAATTTTTAATATACCTTAATGTTATTTGGAAAACCGGTTCAAATTCTAGGAAGGAAATGTGGAGCTGCTGACCAAACTGCACGAGTCGGGCGGCCATTTCTCCTACCAAGACTACGACCTTCGCACTGCCCTTCACGTGGCTGCTACATGGGGCCAACGGGAAGCCGTCGAGTATCTGCTCAAGAATGGCGCCAATGTTCATATCAGGTCAGAAAATTAATTTCTTTGATGAGAAGAAGGTGTCGAAAAAGCTGTGTTTCCCAAACCCCCCCCCCCGATAATGACAAAGCACCCGTGATAGTAAAACGCTTCTTTTAAGGGACCGTTGGAAGTGCAATGCGATCATCTGCGCCATCTGGGCCAAAAATATTGACGTTGTTCGCGTGATCCGCGAAGCCGGCGGCCGAATCGGTGGAAATCCCAAGGAAACTGGTACTAAAAAACATTCAATGCCCTTTAATGCACAAGCTTTAGGTATGGAGCTGTGCATGGCGGCTTCTCAAGGCGAACAGCAGCTGATTGAATGCTACGCAGCTGCCGGTGCCGATCTCCACCAAACGGATTATGATGGCAGAACTGCACTGCATCTGGTAAATCAATAATATTAAATATCTATAAAATACATCTAGGCCTGCTCGAATGGACACTTTGCTCTTGTGGAATACCTGATCAGCGAGGGATTAGACCCCCATACGAAAGATCACTTTGGCCATACTTCCATTGATGAGGCCCGCAATGCCGGTTATGCCAAGGTACCCACACCCCAAAAATCCTGTACCCAAAACTTCTAGATCGAGAAAATGCTGCTCCGCTTTGCCCCCAACCCGAAACTGTCGACGATCGAGGAGAAGGAGGGAATGATGTTCAAGATCGACGACCACTTGGCTTCGACGTCTTCACAGAAACCGAACAATCCTCTGGCTTAGAAGTTTATACCAATTATTACTCGCCGCCACCTGTGATTCATATACTCGGCTACAAAATTCGCATGTCGGGTAGAGACGTTGCTTTCTCCGCACCGTCTTCAGATTTTTGTAATAGTTAATGTGATTTTGCTGTGGGCCCATGAATAAAGATGAAAAATTTTGCGTTGAAATTGGGAAATGCAGATTTTGCGAGCTGATTGGATGGCGATGGTCTAGAGAAACAAATCTTATTAGCATAGATATAGGTTTTGCATGAAATAACACGAACACGGGTTCTGGGGATTTTCAAGAATTATGCTAGCCTTTCCGCTCAATAAAATATGCGGAACTCGAAGGTCGATCTATTCTTTCAGTTGACTCCTAGACGGCGAAAATCCCAGAATTTTTGCAGGGGTTCGGACTTTTGGAGTTCGAAGTTCCAGTTTCTTAGGATCGAATTTTCGAAAGATAAAGGGTTTAAGTGTTTTTAAATGGTTTTTTTACGATTCCCAAACGTGAAAACCTTACAAAATGCTATCAAAAATGTCACAAATATTGATTTTTCGCCTAAAAATGGCCGATTTTGACCAAATTTCGACATTTTACAATTTTTAGGAGGTGTTTCTAGTTTAAATAGATTTATATATTACCAAAAGCGCTATTAAAATACTTCATCGCCTCCACCCCCCGCCCCGATAATGCAAAAAAACCCACACCTCTTACCGTAGATCTAGACAATAGTCAATTTTTATGACGCGATAGTCATACATTCCCTGAAAGATAAGCGCCTATTAGTTCCGACTAGCCGTCACCCTGCTGTATCCGGGGCTAATCCCGTCATCCCCTCGTCCCCAAAATCTCCACACACACACACATATATTTCATTCGTCCCCTCAAAATCAAGAAAATCCCTTCCCCTTTTTTTTTGGGATTAGCCGCCATCGATTGGTGTGGGCCTGATGTTCCAAACTTCCAAACTCTCCCTAGAGACTCAAACGCAACCCGCCCCCCCCCCAGCCTCTAACTCAAAAAAGGAATGTTCCCACGAGCCTGGTAATTGGAGCGGTTTGGAAGGGTGCATCTATTTAGGTGGTGAGAGAATGACCAAAATGAATTTGGTCAAGTGCCGCGAGAGCTTTACGGGTGCGTTAAAGCTTTAAGTTTACTTTTCTTGGCGCTTAGATTTTGCATTTGGCTACATTTGGCTTTTGCTGTTCTATCGATTGGTGTTTTGAAGATATCAAAAATATCACAAACTTGGCCTCCCATGTGCTCAACTCAGTTCTTGAACAATTTTTCTTCAGTAAAAATTGCCTATACATTTTTCGGGCTAACGTTACATCTTGTAGTATATGTTAAAACGCTCTATTGACTTCATTTATTGAAATGCCACAGTATTTTAAAATATTAGAAACCAACTCCTATACGATCTTTGTTATCTCCATTTCCACTTCAATTTCTGATCACGTCAGCACCTAGCAGACCTCCTGGCTGGAACAATAATTGTTAATTGCAAGGTTGCTGAAGATATTTCCAGCGTCGAGCCCCTTTTGGCTTCAGCAACCGGCCGACTAGCAATTACCCTCGAAGCCAGGACTTTTACTTGAGAAGAAAGGGCCCTCCTAATCCCTTCTTCACCGCCTCTTTTCCATCGGTTCTCAGCCTGAATCCCTAGGAAATCTGAGGTCTCGTCGTCTAATTGGCCGCATCGGACCCCATCCTGTCTCCACTGCTCACTCATACGTATTTTCCGGGGATCAGTCGGGTTTATGTTATAACTTTGCAACACTCTACGATACAGGAGTTAGTCTAAATAGTAGCTTCGACCCGATACTTTTATATTAGTTGATTCAGTATGCTCAGGCTTAGGCTTATTAGGCTTGGGCTCGGGCTT